AGATGACATATTTTACATCACAAATAAAAACAAAGGCAATACCTAATCTGACATCTGGGATTTCTCCCCTGAAGCTGCTTTAACCTGCAACATCAAACCTGCTGAGTATTGCTACATAGTTTCAAAATTGATTTCGCTCAGTTTTATTTTTATAGCACTAATTTACAACACATGGCATCTCAAGGCATTTAAATGAGACAATTTATATAAATTATCCAGAAAGGTTGATTGAAAATTTGCATTTGAGGAAAACCAGCTGATTGAATCTGGTCACTGACTGCGCCGCATTTGCTTCATCTGGATGAGCATATAGCACAAAGATAGGAGATAAAAACAAACATAAGATTAAGTCAATATGATGTCCCTCCTGGTGACTGACATATCAGATGGTTGCAAACTAGAGAAAGAATAACATGAATCAAAAACAGAAGAAAGATTAGCTGAAAAATGGAGATGGAGAAGAGTCTGGACATGGGTTTGTAGAATAACATCATGAGGAGCAGAGAGTAATATTAAGAATAAGATCTGGTAATTCTTAATTATTTTAAGAATACAAAAACACAATACAGAAAAATGAGACCACTATGGGGAGGATGGCAGACATTGTTGTATTGGAATATCTAAAATAGCAAAAAAAAAAAATAAATCATGAAGAAATTTTAAAAGATTAAAGAAGATTTAGCACAACCGGCCCATTGCAGATAAAGCTCTGCAGCAAAAGTACAAATAATCAATCAACAATTAAAAACAAAATCATAATTGATGAATAGCCTTTCATTTTAAAGTAAACTAAAAACATAGATACATACACTAACTGCACTGTCATGAACCAGTCTATACCAGATGGTGGGAGTAATGGTAATAAACATGCTTGCAATTCAGACAGTTAGAGAAGGAGAGAAAGACCTCTGGCAGATTACTTAATATTTGGTTGTGAGACAACAAGTGTGTTTCAGTGAAAAGAAAACTGCAGGTGGATGTTCACTATTTTAAAGCGATGGGGTGAGGAGTTCGGTCATCGCTCTAAGCAGAGTCTGCTGAGGGGCTCGGACATCTGTACCAGATGTCTAAGGTTGGTTCTCACCCAAAACGGACTCTAAGCCCAGGAAAAAGCTAATTAAGACCGGTCTTGAGACCAGAACGGGCCTTGAGACTCCTAAAACTGTATCCTTGTTTAATTAGTTTAGCTCACATAATATTACTTGTTACCCATATTTCTAAGAAATATAAAACAGTTTTAGAATTATTCGTATAAGGGTAATCAGTTGCTATGATTCTTTTTCTTAATAATTCTGCGCCTTTAAACAACCGTATGTGATCTGAGATGCCTTTGATTGTATTTAGCTTCTTTAAATGCTGTGATTTTCATAGAAACAATCGACAGATAATTTTCACATCTTGAAATAAATGCAGCTATTTCTCCTAACGGGAACCTTTTTCTTTTCTATCTAAGCTCTCTGTTCCTCACTATGAGGTTGGTGAGGCTTCCACCTGCATGGCATTTCTTGGAGAGATAACATAAATAATTAGCTTAACTTAAAATCATTGACTAATTTGTCTGCATATAGGTTTTACTGATATCTTCAGCATGGATTATGCTGCTTTCACCAGTAAATCCAATAAACTGGATCCCTTTGTTCACTCTTCCATGCTCTTTGTAGATAGTACTCCTACAGCAGCCTAAAAAAGGTGCTTTGTGTAATCTGACCAATCAAATGGCATGATAAAGTAGGTTCTAGATAAGAACTTTCTATAAAACATAAAGTGCAGACCCAGGGCTGGTTTGACTGACATGAGAACACCCAGAGCATGCATGAACGCCGTGATTTAATCAGACTTGATCTGAAATCCAACCCTACTGTACTGCTTTCTCTTAATGGCTTGAATCTAAACTGCTTTTTCTGAATTATTAAATTAATATTTTGCTACATAAAATACACTGATAAACTCTTTAAGATCCCAGCTTCAAAAATGGGTCAAACAACAAAGGAAATAAAACCAAGAGATAAGAAAGGATTACTATATCCGGGAGGTAACATATATGAAAAGAGAGCTGAACATTGGATCTGTGGCTAAGAAAACTCATCTTCAATGGGTTTATTGGAACGGTAAAGGAGAGGGAGGGAAGAATGGTTTGTCTTTTCTCCAGCACAAAGAAAGTGAGGAAGGATGGGGAAGATAAACAATGAGAAAACAGAGGCGACAGCAGCAATGCTTCTCCTGTCGGGGGGGGAAAATGGAGCAGGCAGGCAGGAGGAGGGTGGTGCAGCGTCGCACGTTTCCATCTTCAACACTGCAATAACAAGGGAGCGGGAGGAGCAAAACGTCAGCAGAATATCCTCCTCCACCGCTGCCCACACAGTCGCAACTCCACCGGGAATAAAGTGATTTAAATCACAAGAGAGAGAAGCTGTCACAAAAGGAAATGATAAATGTTCCCCAACAGTAATTCAATAGAAATAAATGTTTCTTTTGTTTCTCTGTGCAGAGAAGTGATAGACTGCTACTATGATTCACTGTGAAAGCCTTTACTACCTTTACATTTTCTGTTGACTTAGAGAAGATCATACAGATGTTAAACCTGTTTACATTGGCTCTATATAACTTGTACAAATTTGAAATAGGCTGATACAAATAACGGTTATGAATCAGAAGAAGTTTTCTTATTTTATTTTTTAGTAAAAAGCTCAAGATCAGTCAGATTGACACAGCCACAGTCATTATTTCCCAGCTGTTCTTTGACCTCAGGTAAATATAACGCCTTCTTCCTAATTTTCTCTCAACAACCACTCTATAGTAGTCAGTCTTCCATAAAGACCAGATTAATGTAATGCTTGAAACTCTGGTGTTGATAGATTCTCCTCCAGAGGTAGCATGAATCTTTTGGATGCCCCTCTGGTTGGGATTTAGATTATTTCTCAGTATAGAAGTGAACAGCCTTTTTTTGTCTATCACATAAAATACTAATGACGTTCACTAAAGTGTGGCTGCAACACAACAAGATGTAGAAGTTTACCTTCATATATCAGCACTTGTTTTGTTTTGTTTTTACATGAGAGGTTGTTCTTTCTTATAGTATAACTTAAGATTGTTTTAACTTATTTTAAAGGTGTTGATTTTTGTTGACAACAACTATGCGTCGCTTAACATACGTCACGCACTCAGTTGCTCTTATTGGTTGTAGGTCTATCCAATTGAGTGCAGAGGCATTTGTTTTCCTGGTTCGTTCGAAACCGGCCCATAATCACAGCTCTATGGAGCAGTATCAGACTCATATTCTGACTAGAATTGAGTAGGACTACGTCAGGCTAGTGAAATGGGGCTTTAGAAATAAACTGAATTCAACTGAATAGAGAAACAAATGTATTATTACTGTGATGATAGAGATGCAGTTGCATAGATTCTGTAACAGTGTAACAGTGGCCATCATGCTGCAAAATTTTCCTACATCCCAAAAGATTGTTCATCAATTCTTACCTGGTGATCCGACTGCGTTTGTTAGAATAAAAGGAATAATTTT